ATTGTCTCCATTAGCACAGCTGATTCAGCATCCGCCGTTCCACTTGATAGGGAAGGTACCGAAAGAAGTTTAGACACACCTGCTCCAGTAACAAGAATGGGAAGCCGAACAACGCGCTTTCCGTTGATGTCAGGCAGAATCTTTCCATCCCAGTGTACTACCAAAGGTACATCAGGATCAAAGATTTGCTTCAGCTGGAAAATTTCCAATCAAAATGAATAAAATGAAAATAATGTTAGCTATGCAAACAAATCAAGAAAAAATATAAACAAAGAATTTAAAAATTAAAGAATTTATTAAGTAGAGAATTTAGTAATTTAAAAATTTAAGAGTCTAAAAATTTAGAATTTTCGAGCGATAGAATTTTAAAATTTTTGTATTTTAAAATTTAAGAATTAAAGAAGTTTAGAATCATAGAACTAAATAAAAATATTTACTGCTTTCGCCAGCGCCTCACGATGTTTCATTCGGGAACGGCGAAACGTCTGTTAATTTAATCAGAAGTAATCAGATTTGTTGGACGACTTCGTGTGATTGTATTCAATTATTGCTTCCAAAATCATATTCGCATTTCTATTAGATATTCCAGTTCTTTCAAATGCTGCTGCAACATTCGGAGTTGTGATGTTCATTTGTTTAACTGCACACTTAGAAATAACTAATTTTACACGTGACGGAATCCGTCTTTGACATAAAGAATGAGACATAAATAAACATGTCATGTAATATTAAGTGCTCCGAGACTGAAAAGTTCGTTGCTCGACGAAAAGTACGTTTGATTGAGTTGAACTTCGCGTCTGTTATGACTCAATTTTATGTCAAAATTGACGCTCGTATATGTCACTCTCAGAGCACCTACATTTATATGATTTTTTTAAAGTGTGTGGTGTACCTGTAAGTAGAGAAAAGAGGAGAACCAACTTCGTTGAACATTTAAAAAGACACACCACGAAAAAGACATGTAAATTTCAGTGCCCTGAGACCGACACATGCAAGCGGCTCTTTTGACATAAGAATCAGTTGAAAAGGACGGGAAAATCAATTCAATCAAACGCACATTTCGTCGAGTTGAATATGTTTCAGTTTCAGGACACTTAATTTTACATGCCATGTTTTTTAACGTTTCATGATTTAGCTCAAAGCTGAATTACGTCTCATGTAAAAATAATAATTTTTAAGTGTGGATAATGTCCTGGTGTCTTTGGGAAAGTTATTGACCGAGCATGCTCTGGTGAAATATACCTTCACCCTTGCACTAGGGCACCAGCTGGTCCTCCAGGAAACCCGGAACAACCGTAAAAGCGGTCAATTTATGAAATTGGTCTTAGAGCTCCGTGGTTTTTTTTCGAAAGCACTTCTAGGAGACTCATAGAATGAATTCGGACTTGTGACCGGAAAATTAACACTGGAATAACCACTGAATAACCTCCCGGATTATCCAGATGGAGTAGTCAATTATACGGAACGACAAATCCAGTGGATAGAAATTAAAGGAGATTGAATTACAGTGGAACAGGAAAAGAAGTGAACTAGCTGAAATTATATAGCTAGACATTTTCAGTTCATTTTAACTGTTCGTCAAACAAAATGAGCATTGTTTACTGATCATATATTTTTCGATCTCTACGCTCGAAGTTTTTCCAAGTAGGATAGTTTGAATAAATTGTGCGCCAAAGCAAATACACCCTTGTGAAATTATCACGCTTGTTTCCAAATGACTTCCGTGAAACATAATTGTTGTACTATATCGGAAACCTGAGTAATGCCTTGTTCAGACTACAGAGTTATAACATGTTATAGCGCTATCTTGAGGCTGGTTTCTGTTTTGCAACTATTTGACAACCGTTATAACATGTTATAACTCTGTAGTCTGAACGTACTATAAAGTTTCATCAAAATCGAAGATTCTTTGCGCATGATATCGGCTTTCCTCCATGCTGAGTGAACCCCCACACAACGTGACTGCCTCGCGCAGACAGTAGCAGGCGGCAGCTGGCAGTGCTGCTAGAAAAAAAGAATAATGAGCAGTTTGGTTAGCAATCAGAAATGACTAAATAACTTTTTCCACAAGCGTCGGATCGTTTTGCGGTCTTGGAAGTAAAGGTTTCCTTGTATAATTCCCTAGGGGGTTGTTGGGTTGATTTATTTTTAGAAGACAATGGGTGACCTCACCAGATTTTTATTTAAAAAAAATGAGTTTTTCCATAGAAAATCCTATGTAAAATTAAAACCGCTGGCGCTAAAATATAGTTCCACCGACCGACCTGAAATTTTACACAGTTATTCTAGGACCCAGAAGGCCCCCGCAAATCATACTGGAACTGGAATTTGAATTTTGTCCCACCCTAGTATACACACAGAAGTCTTCCTTACAATTTGTAAATAAATGGTCTAAATATGAGTTTTGTTGATTTTTTTACATGGTTTATTTGATTAAGACCAAAATAAGATATTTTGTCGAATAATAATTGTAATGTTTCGTCTTCATCTACGACTGGGAGTAAAAATGATTCATTTTCAAAGTCTGTAATAAAGTATGTGTTTCGTGGATTGAAGTCGCCATAAATATGCAGTTTTACTTCTGGTTCCATATATGACATTATAGTTTCAACAATTTGAAAAAAAAAATATTTCAAAAGACTGCTTGTGGGCATGTTCAGGTGGAAAATACACCGAAGAAAAAAAATTGTATTTCAGCGGCAATAAGTGCTTTGACCCAGACATTTTCGAATTCCTTGTGCTTATTTGTTATGATTTCTTCAGAAGTAATGTCAGCATTGATGGCAATGAGCACTCCACCACCAGACTTTCTATTACAGAATTAAAAATTCCTGTCGTGCCGGAGTACATTAACATTGTTTCCAAAAATTTCTTCGCTTCTGACGCTTTCGTCCCAGCTTGTTTCAGTTCCAAGAATTATTTGAAAAGAAGAAGATAGAAGGTTCTGGTGGATTTCTTTCATTTTAGCTGGGCATTTCATGCGATTGAAATTTTTTCAATACACCAAAATTTCAGTCGCATTCTGTTGAGGAAGTGAAGAGATTTTTGGAGGGTCAGTATTACTTACATTAGCAGGGTCTACCTCATGTAGAGTGTCGTCAGTCGATAATAATAATTCCCTTGCATGGGAATAGTCGTCGTTCCTTCCTTTAGTAGAGTGCGCCAGTGCCGTTGAAAATTTGGAGGACTGTAATACTGGTTGCATATACTTAAAAAAAAACTCACGTTTTAAATTTGCAGTCTCTAAAATATAAATTTGGCAACACTGTAAAAAAAAAACCTAAAATTGACCATTCTATACGATAGATGAGGAGATGAAAGTTAAGAATTGATAGTTCCGTTATAGTACGGCAGTGTGAAAATAGAAGATAGAAATAAGAAAACATTCCCTATACCAAACTCATCCATTTATGAGGGGCCCTGAGGGGTGTGCAGCATGTTAAAGGGTTCTTTTTTGGTGAGAAATTTCCTTCGAGTTTTAAAGATACGAAGCTTTTAAGATGGTCATGATAAACTTTGATGGGTACGCTGACTTTGAAGATGGATGGCAAAGCTTTATAAATTTAAATAACGCTTCCATATAATATAGGGAGCTCAAATAATCAAAAACATTTCCAAACAGCTGGACATTTGATCTTTTTATTTAGTTGTTGTCATTTGGATTTGTTTCCCAGATCCTTTAGATTTATTCCTATGTATGCTAGATTTTCTCATAAATTGTATTATTATTTTTGCGTTATTAGTTCGAAGTGAAGAAATCTGGAATATTGTCAGTAAATGCCATTAACGTATTAGGTATGGAAGGTTTTTAGGTTATCTCCTCTTTGTAATTTGAATTTGCTACCCTATTTAGTCTTCCAATGAGTTGAAAATTGAATATTTATAATCCTATATGTGATCAACTATACGCCTTTATGCCTAAAAGTTAGATATGTTATTCTAATGGCTAACAAGTCTTTAATAATTGAGATAAGTTTGATAGATTACAATAATATAGGATGTACCAGAAAGTAACAATGCACTTCCAACAAGCCATGTCCTGATAACGTTTAGCATGTTTAACGATGTGTGTTGTCGTTTACATGTTGCTCAACACGTAAATGTGCCAAAAATGAGGTAGAAAAGAAGCTCTGTTATATATTTGGCTAAAAGTATGATCATCGACGAGTTACTTCCATCGTGCCAAGGCAAGAAACGGTCTAAAGACGTTTAAGAAACAGAAGCAACCAAAACGGTATCAAAATCAAGCCGCAACCGACAAACCGAATGCTCGAAAATGCTATCATAGAATGTTGTATGAAAAAATACCAAAATCATGAATATTCAAAAAAATTAATTCTGCTAGCTATCTGGAGGCTCGGCATATAAACGCCATTTTATCACTGACCCTGACCAATAATTACGAAGCAAATCAAATGGAAATAAACTAAAAAAGACTACACACATATGGTCAAAACCATTTGAAAACGTTATCGTTAGCAAATGTCTGGTCATTGGCGTAAGATTCGCGAAATAGCGGCATTAATAGATCCATTTGCAACAGTATATTATAAAGGACATGTGCATGCCAAAAATAATAGGTTCCTTAGGGAAAGAAAGTGAATTTATTTCAATATCAAACTGTGTTGTTACTTTCTGGGACACCGCATATAATTGAAATCTATTGAACTTATCTCAATTATTGCAGACTGGTTAGCCATGAGCATACCTCATCTAACTTTTAGCCATATAGGCGTAAAGTTGATCACCTAGAGGATTTTAAATATTCGAAAAAAGCCGCTTCTTTTCGCCTCACACACTCGGCAGATTCAGGTTGCGAGCACTTCAATTAAATAAAAGACGAAAAAAAAATCCACTCGAAAGGTCTTCCGATGAAGCATGCGGTTAGCGCATACTAGCCGGTCCATACTGAGAGTGGGGTGTAGCTATTTTTTGAGATGGCTATTCAATTTCGTTTGAACTGTGTCGTGTTGTTTAATAGTGGCAGTTCACGCGTCAAGATGCGCATTCGCGATTCATCATATTTTCTCCTACTAAGCAGATACCTTGGGATAACCTTGTTGATAGCTCACGGGTCTTCGCAAACCACTGATGGAAGTGAAATTCCTTGTCGAGATGGAGGATTATGTGTACCGTTCTATATGTGTTCTAATAGTAAGATCATAACAGACGGAACGGGATTAATCGATCTTCGTTTTACTGGAGAGGATTGTCCAGATAAATTGATTTGTTGTCAGGATACCGCTGCCGTTGGGTCACGAATATCAGAGTGCCAAGGAAAGTGCGTTCCGTTGTCCCAGTGCTTGGATGATGTGTATGAAGATACAGTCGTTGAAAATAGTGTATTGGATATTGGAAAAACAAGTTGTTCTGACAACCAAATTTGTTGCAATAATGTACGGCAACCGCAATTTACTAACATGATTGTTTCCCCCTACAAACAATGTCAGGGAAAATGTGTACCTTTCTACCAGTGCTCTGGAGGGAAACTGAATAGTTTTGGAAAAGATATAATCAACTTGAGGAGCACTGATGATGGATGTGGTGGAGACGAATTAGTGTGCTGTATGGAAACAGATATTAAAAAGCCAAACATCGAGCTGCCCAAATTGTGCGATGGAACATGCGTTCCGTTCTATCAGTGTTCGAATGGGTCATTCAACAGTGCTGGCGAAGGAGTGATCAATTTAAGAAGCTTCGACAATGCATGTCCAGGAGAACAGGTTTGCTGTAGTTCCAAACCCATGCCAAACATTGAGGTGCCCAAACTGTGCGATGGAACATGCGTTCCGTTCTATCAATGTTCAAATGGGTCATTCAACAGTGCTGGCGAAGGAGTGATCAATTTAAGAAGCTTCGACGATGCATGCCCAGGAGAACTTGTTTGCTGTAGTTCCAAACCCATGCCAAACATTGAGGTGCCCAAACTGTGCGATGGAACATGCGTTCCGTTCTATCAATGTTCAAATGGGTCATTCAACAGTGCTGGCGAAGGAGTGATCAATTTAAGAAGCTTCGACAATGCATGTCCAGGAGAACAGGTTTGCTGTAGTTCCAAACCCATGCCAAACATTGAGGTGCCCAAATTGTGCGATGGAACATGTGTTCCGTTCTATCAATGTTCAAATGGGTCATTCAACAGTGCTGGCGAAGGAGTGATCAATTTAAGAAGCTTCGACGACGCATGTCCAGGAGAACTGGTTTGCTGTAGTTCCAAACCCAAACCACACGTCGAGGGGCCCAAACTGTGCGTTGGAACATGCGTTCCATTCTATCAATGTTCAAATGGGTCATTCAGCAGTGCTGGCGAAGGAGTGATCAATTTAAGAAGCTTCGACGATGCATGTCCAGGAGAACTGGTTTGCTGTGGTTCCAAACCCAAACCACACATCGAGGGGCCCAAGCTGTGCGGTGGAACATGCGTTCCATTCTATCAATGTTCAAATGGGTCATTCAACAGTGTTGGCGAAGGAGTGATCAATTTAAGAAGCTTCGACGATGCATGCCCAGGAGAACTTGTGTGCTGTAGTTCCAAATCCAAACCACACGTCAAGGGGCCCAAATTTTGTGACGGAACATGTGTTCCGTTCTATCAATGTTCAAATGGGTCATTCAACACTGCTGGCGAAGGAGTGATCAATTTAAGAAGCTTCGACGATGCATGTCCAGGAGAACTGGTTTGCTGTAGTTCCAAACCCAAACCACACGTCGAGACGCCCAAATTGTGCGATGGAACATGCGTTCCATTCTATCAATGTTCAAATGGGTCATTCAACAGTGCTGGCGAAGGAGTGATCAATTTAAGAAGCTTCGACGACGCATGTCCAGGAGAACTTGTGTGCTGTAGTTCCAAATCCAAACCACACGTCAAGGGGCCCAAATTTTGTGACGGAACATGTGTTCCGTTCTATCAATGTTCAAATGGGTCATTCAACACTGCTGGCGAAGGAGTGATCAATTTAAGAAGCTTCGACAATGCATGTCCAGGAGAACTTGTTTGCTGTACTTCTAAACCCATGCTAAACATTGAGGTGCCCAAATTGTGCGATGGAACATGCGTTCCGTTCTATCAATGTTCAAATGGGACATTCAACAGTGCTGGTGAAGGAGTGATCAATTTAAGAAGCTTCGACGATGCATGTCCAGGAGAACTGGTTTGCTGTGGTTCCAAACCCAAACCACACATCGAGGGGCCCAAGCTGTGCGGTGGAACATGCGTTCCATTCTATCAATGTTCAAATGGGTCATTCAGCAGTGCTGGCGAAGGAGTGATCAATTTAAGAAACTTCGACGATGCATGTCCAGGAGAACTGGTTTGCTGTAGTTCCGAACCTGAGGTAATTGCCAGTACATGCCAATGTGTACCTTTTAATCAGTGCTTGGACGGTACTGCCAACATGAGCGGTAAAAATCTGCTAGACTTGAGGAGTACTAATCAAGACTGCCCAGGAAATCAAGTTTGCTGTTCTAATCCAAGACCTAGCCATATGGAAACGGCAAACTCAAACGAGTGTAAAGGAACGTGCGTTCCATTTTATCAATGCTTGAATGGAAAATTCAACACGGGAGGAAAAGACATTCTAGATCTTCGTTTAAATAACTGCCCTGGAGATTTAGTGTGCTGTGAAGCTCCAACAGTACCAAAGATTCCCGATAAACGAGTTTGTGAGGGAGCATGTGTTCCAATACGGCAATGCAATACGGCTGGTAAGGATATTCTAAACTTACGGAGCTATTACGATTGCCCAGGTGACCAGATCTGTTGTGAATTATCAGCGAAAGTAAAACAAACAAGCAAGCTATGTGATGGAAAATGTGTCCCCCCGGCGCAGTGTAGCGATTCGCCAAGCACAATGGTGACACAACTCATAGATGCTCGATTAGGATTAACCTACACTGGATGTTTGGATGGTAATGTGTGCTGTGCAAATCCAATAAGAATGACTCCAGATGCAGATAAATGGATGGATTGGATAAACGACATAAACAATATGGTCGTTGCCCAAAATGTTAAAAAGACTGGAAAGTGCTCCTTGGACATTGTTCGTGGTGTTGAAAGTATCAAGGAGAATGAAATTCCGTGGTTGGTGACAGTTTGGAGAAGAAATCATCGTTTAGGGGTAATGCATGACGAATATCTTTGTGCTGGAACACTTGTGAGGGCAGACGTAGTTTTTGTTCCAGCCGATTGCATCCAAGGCGATCCTAATGCCCGATTATTCGTAAGAACAGGAAGCTATAATTTGAAAGCGATGAGTGGTTATAAGGTATGTATCTAGACATTACAAAAATTTCTTATTAGAATAGACATTGCTCCCGAAAACACGACCACAAGTAAATTCTCTATCTGGTAAATTTTCTCTAATGTAGCACAAAATGTACGAAGAATCAATGAAAATTAATGGCATACAATAACTGTTGGACTACTATTTCAGAATGCCCATTTATTCCTTTTTTTTAGAACTTAAAATCATTAGATGGATCAGATCTCAACATTGGTGGATTAATTAAGTTCTTGTACGTTTAAAATAATCTAAATAACTCCAAATTAATAATTAATTTAAAACATCACCTGCATTTTTTCTTCTTCAATTTCAGGAGCTCCAGATAATCAGAAAAATTATTCATCCGGATTACGACAACGCATACAACCCGAACAATGCTGCTTTACTATTCCTGCCGGAACGCAGTAAAAATAAACCTCATGAAGCATGCATATTCGGCATCAAGGAACAATTGCGCGAACAAGACTGTCTGATCGCTGGATGGAACAGCCTTGACTTGCGGGATGTTCGCAATCCGTTCACCATGCCGAAGAAATTGTACTCACCAATTGTAAGGACAACAACCTGTCGGCCGGGTTCTTTCTGCACGGGAAGGAATCAGTTCATTGAAAGCTGCGACAGACTGCATGGCTCACCGGTTATATGCCTCGATCAGTCCGGACACAACTGGAAGATAGCGGGAATGGTTGTAAAGAATAATGTACGATGCGACCAAAACGGCATCCCGGATTCGCTGCTCGAGGTTACCCGTTTGGAACCTTGGATTCGAGAACAACTTTCACCGAGCTTTGTGCAAAAACCGGCTGTCCATGAACCATCTCGAAAGTATTTACCTGTTAAGTAATGAGATGACTCAAACTCTCTGTTCGTACTTAATCAAAAACATATGTTCAAGTGCGGGCATTGTACAAATGTAATTAAATCTAGGGTTATTAAATAAATTTTGAACCGGGTAGTAGTAGTAAAATTTACGTTTATTTTCTGGGTTTTATGTTTCAACATTTGATTTAACATTTCAATTGGTTAGCCTTTGGCTCTTCATCTTTGTTCTAGTTAATTGGTTATTCTAATGTGATGATTGCGTTTAGCGCTAATTTACAGGATACCCTTTGTGGGATTGTTTTGGTTTGAATTTAAAAATTTGATAACCTACCTACTTGAGCACCTAACTACTTATACTAGGTTGCCAAATCACGAATGATCTGGTGGTTTGATCGCAGACAGGCGACTCTGAACCTTTCCAGCGTGGAAGTCTTTCGTTCCTCGAGTGTTTGAAGACCGGCCAGGTGGTGAATCTCAGAATTACGAGTTCGCGGTGGACTGTTAAGGATCATTCTGAGGATCTTGTTTTGGATCCTCTGAAGCTTTAAGTGGTGGCACTTAGCACAACTCTCCCAGATTGGCATACCATACTCAATAGCCGGCAGAATGATTTGCTTGTGGACAGCAAGCTTGTTTTTGAGGGACAGGGTGGACTTCCTGTTTATCAGAGGGTAGAGCGACCTGATCAAGATGTTACACTTGGTGGATGTCTTGTCCACATGGGATCGGAATAGCAATTTGCTATCGAGGGTGAGACCAAGGTAGACTACTTCACTCGACCATTCAATGGGAGTGCTATCAAGATGGACCTTGTTGTTAGCAGGTGGAACAAGCCGAGGTGAATTCGAGTGTGGGAACAGAATGGTTTGTGTTTTAGCTGCATTGATACAAATCTTCCAGCTCTTAAAATAGTCGGACAAAACATCCAGGCCTGATTGTAGTTTACTCGCCAGAGCACGGATCACTCGACCCTTATAGATGATGGAGGTGTCATCTGCGAACATTGACAGGATACCACCACCCGGCAGGGGAGGAACGTCTGACGTGAAAATGTTGAATAGGATAGGCCCAAGCAGGCTACCTTGAGGGACCCCTGCATCAACGTTGAACGTATCAGAGGAGACATTGTTCAAGTAGACCTGGAATGATCTGCCCGACAAGTAGTTTTTGATGATCTTCACGAGGTAGTTCGGAAAGTTGTATCGATGCAGCTTGTACACTAGACCATCATGCCAGACATTGTCGAACGCCTTCTCGACGTCCAACAATGCCATGGCAGATGTTTTGGAAACGGACTTGTTCCGCTTGATGATGTTAGTAACCCGTGCGAGTTGGTGGATGGTAGAGTGGCCTTTCCTAAACCCGAATTGCTCTTTGAGAAAGATGTTATTATCATTTGAAAACACCAGCAGACGGCTGAGTATCAATTTTTCGAATAGCTTCGAGATGGAGGACAAGAGGCTGATGGGGCGATAGCTTTTGGCACTGGTAGGGTCTTTGCCAGGTTTGTGAATTGGAATAATTTTGGCTAACTTCCAGCATGCAGGGAAGTAGCCAAGCATTAAACACTTGTTGAAGACCACTGCAAGGTGCTTGAAGAAGTCAACACTCAAGTTTTTCAGCTCGAGGTTGACCACTCCATCGACACCAGCGGCCTTCATGTTCTTTGTTGCTTTAATCGCTGCTATCACCTCATCAGCCGATATTCTACTTTCGTCAGGGACAACTACGGGGGTGGCAGCGACACTAGCCATTGCCTGTGATACTGCAGGCTCGTGGGGACTCACCATGGCGTGGCCAAGGTTATGTGAATTTTCAAAGTGTTGTCCAAGAGCATTGGCCTTTTCAAATGGGGTTATTAGTAAAGATGGGTCCGAATTTTGGTTAGGAGAGGAAAGGGGAGGAATGGGCCTCGGCTTATTTTTCAAAATCTTTGCCATTTTCCAGAATGGCTTAGCACAATCTGGGAGAGAGCGAATCTTGTTTGCAAAATCGATATTTCTGAGATCCACCATCCTGGCTTGGATGATTTTGCTCAAACGGTTGCAATTGGTCTTCAGATTAGGCAGCCCAGTACGCTGGTACTGCCTACGGATCGTGTTGCGGAGTCTAATGAGGTCTTTAGTAGGCCTGTCAAGGTTCAGAGTGTTACTCACCTGTCTGGATACTGGCACATGTAGCTCCCTGGCCCGGGAAATTGCTTGATCGATGGAACGCAGACACCGGTCAACATCTTCGGACGATTCCGGTTGGACATCGTAGTCTACAGCGGTGTCGACGCAATGTTGGAACTGACCCTAGTCAACACGATGATAGTTGCGCCGGAAAGCTTCAAATCGATTTACGGAGGATCCCACCTCAGTCACCACCGGGTAGTGGTCCGAGCTGAGTTCCTGATAGGTGATAGGTTGAGCGATGTTGTTGCCCATGTTGCTGATGAATATATCGATGGTAGCGTGAACACCGGACCGACTCAACCGGGTGGGAGTTTCCGGACTCAAGATGTTGTACTGCGCTTCCTGCAGGTCGTTGTTCAGGATGGTGCCGTTTTGATTGCGCCGATTGTTGCCCCAAGCTTGATGTTTGGCGTTCAGGTCGCCAGCGATGATAAAGTTTTCCCGTCGTCGTGTTAGCTTGATAATATCTCGTCGCAGATCTGCTGCTGATCCGTCCCTGATGTTGACTTGTTTGGGGCAGTAAGCCGCGACGATGGTGATGGGGCCGATAGGAGTAGAAACTTCCACCCCTACGGCTTCGATGATCTTCAGCTGAAAGCTGGGCATCAGTCGACAGCAGATGTTTCTCCTTATTGCAATAGCCACTCCTCCTCCTCCAGAGTTGGTTCGATCTAGCCTCACGAGCCGGAAATCGGGAAGGTAGACGTTTGTTTCAGGCTTCAGGTGGGTTTCAGTTATGATGGCAATGTCGATGTTTCGTTCATTGAGAAACTCAACAAACTCGATGTTTTTGCTCTTCAAGGAGCAAGCGTTCCAATTTACGATCTTGATGGCTTCACGGTCCATACTTAGTGACAAGGGACAGGGCAGCATGAAGCTGTTCAGATCGAGTCTTGCAGGTGCGCAAGATGATGATGACCTCGGCCACGAGCGTCACAAGTTCCTCCGAGGTGAACGGAGAATCGTCGACAGGCTCACCTGAGACAACACCAGCGTATGATAAACCAGGGGCGGTGGAGGGACCTGGCATTGGCTGGGCAGCAGCAGCAGCGAGACGATGCTGGACTGTTCGATTGTTAGGAATACTCACATGCTTGACTTGTTGGTTGTTGAGCGGAAGTGGTTCTAAGTTCGGAACATGTCGACGGGGCTGGAGAGCTGGGTACTGGACTTCCGTGTGTGCAGGAGGCGAACGATGATTACGGAGGCGACCGGGCTGATTATTGATCGTAGCCTTCCGACGGATATTGATGAACTCCACTCGCTTGGGACATCCGCGATTTGAGGCTTGGTGGTTACCACCGCAGTTGACACACGTTGGCTCGATGTCATCATCTTGCTCACAGGACGCAGTCGAGTGAGTTCCAGCACACTTGCCGCAGATAGTCTTCATATGGCAGTTTTTGGTGCCATGGCCGTAGGAGAGGCAGTTCATACACTGCGTAACATCACGATGTTGGGATTTGTAATGCTCCCAACTGATGATGACCTGAAACAGGTCCCGGATTTTGGATCTCAGAGCCGCTAGACTGGTGGATCCCTTCGTGAAGTGCACCAGGAACAACTGGTCACGGAAGCTGGTGTTGTGGTTGGAACGCCGGTTTATTGGGAACACCGCCTCAGGTTTGAGCCCAAGCCGCTCCAGCTCGGATTTAACCACAGCCGCCTCGAACGACGGTAATCCACGCAATACCAGCTTCAGTGGCTTGCTTGATGGCAGATCGTGCGTGAAGAAGTCAACGTTGTTTTCCTTTAGGAAACATCCTGTTTGATTGTACTCCTCCAGGCTGGAGCACATGATTTTGGTGCCGATGCTGCAAAGCTTGAAGCGAGGCAGCAGCTTGTGTTTTGCCAGTTCGGCACGCAGCTTGGCAACATCCTTCTCCGACGTGAAAAGCGGGGGAATCCGCTCTCTTGCAGCGATGGGAACGACGTCACCATCGCCATTTTCTTCGGGGAGCACCGCAAACTGGTTGGCTTGCAGTACCCGTTTTCCGGCGTCATCCTGCGACGCGCTGTGCTGGATTACCACCTTCTTTGAAGGGCCCGCTGCTGAATCATTGGTACGTTTACGCACCATTTGTTTCGTGTTGGCAAGTTGCAGTAAACTTGCCAGAACGCGCGAAGGTGGCGACGCTTCCACGGCGCAACGCGACAGCACAAACCGAATCGAAGCGAGAACTCGAGCGAAAAAGAAAACGAACTGAACAGCTCAACAGTCGAGCAAAGAGTGATTTTTGAACAGGGGTTTTTACTGCTGTTTTTATATTTCGTTTTCACTTGTCCTAGCATCCATTTAGACTACATTTTCTTCAAGCACCTCTGTCACTTCATTCGTTTCCTGGCCACTGTTGTCCAAAGACCCTCCTACATCAACGGACGTAGGGTAAGAAGTTAGAAAACGCCCCCTGAGCATGTCTATGAATAAAGCATACAGCCTTTAGCATACAGTATACAGCCTCTTTGTTGCGGGAGCATATTAGATGATATAGTTTGTATAGTTGATAGATGGGGCATATTGCCCCGCCTAATTGAAGAACCCAGAATTTTAGTGCAGTCGCAAAAAAAAAGTACTTTTTTGTTAACTACCTCTGGAGAAAAAATAATGATTACCGGTTATTTCTTATTCCCAATGCCACGGGAATACATGATAATTCAGTTAATGATAGTGAAAACGGTAAAAGCATAACTGTCTCTCCTTAAGGTGATTCCTTGTAGAGCCCACAAATGGCCGCCACGTGCACTTCCACCTCGAATTTTCAATTTCACAAATATCGGAAATTAGAGTTCCATTTCACTTAAAATTGCTACTGCTTGTATGTTGCAGCGCAGCAAACGTGGAGTAAC